TTTTCATTTTCACGTAGGCAAAGCCGCTAGAAAAACCAGTATTTAATATAATACAAAATAATATAATTACACACATTTAACAACTATTTTGTACATCGTTAACATCTTTTTTATATAGATAAATTATCATAAATAAAAACTTAAAGATCGTAATGAATTCGTTTTGACTTATTAAAGAACCTGTCTGTATGCCTTGCCAAATATGTGTTGTTTACAACCTCCTCCCTGGTGCGTTAATTAGGTATAATATGTAAAACCTAGTATTTCATATTTACATATAATTAAGTAGATAATTGGAATACCATGATACGTATATTAATGTCTTTTGTACGCACAAATTTTTGCAAAAGTGTAATTAAATTAGCTTTGCAATTTTGTATTGCGATAATAAAATCGATTAATAAATAGTATTCATATATTTTAAAAAAATTAACATGCAGATGTGCAACAATTTATAATTAAATAATTAGTGTACATAGTTTTGTCCATATGATAAATAAACAACATTCCTTAGCTATAAATATGTATCTATTTGTATATATTTACAGAAATCCCCCTATTTTACCTGTCAGATACATTCTATTGATAGCTGTCCTACACACCCTCGCGCCAATTCGCTGAAATATGCCGTACACATACATAGACATAATAGTTTATACACAAAATTACAGCTAATCATAACGCTTAACTATACAGATCGTCTATCTAACTAAATTTTCACAAGCGCTTAACTCGCTTAAAATACAAATAATAGAAAATATTGTCTATGTGTGCATAGATATCACAATTATACCGCAAATTGCTGTACATCGCTACATTTAAAACTATTGATGTAATTAGAAAAAGGGATAAAGCGATTAAAGCGCTGGTTTATGTGAGTAGAGATCAATAGCGTGCGTTGTTGCCGTACTGCCCCTTCCCCCGCGATCACGGTGCGAACTTCGTAGCTCGCATTCGACTTTACGATATAATTGCCTTCATTTAAGACTTTACTATTGAGATGATATGATTATTTGTTTATTAAACTAAACAATCAATGTTATGCAAATATTTGGTATATTCTTTGACATAAACTGTAAAGTTGTTGTAAAAAAACATTTCAAATAAAAAAAAAAAACATCATAAAGTCAATAACTTAATTAACAAAAAATGGCCGTATCAAAAGTAATTAGACCTACACAGGGTATTACATATTATAGCATAAGTGAGAATAATCATAAGAATTAAGAACCAACCAACTCAAGTAAACATTGCATGTAATAAATATATCATTTTATATTTTTTAAGCAACTGCCATATAAGTCTGTTAGCGCAAAAGCGCTAAAATATTAATGTAAACATCATTTATTTATAATTAATTACAAAACTAATAAACCATAGCTATATAGTGTTATATTTACATTTTAATGTTGCAAACTGTTCATGTTTCTAATAAATATACATAAATATATGTACATGTAAAATAGCAAATCCTAATTGTCTGGCTGGATCATTAACGCTCAGACTAAACCACTAGTAAACACCTAGAAAGCAACAATATTAACACTGTACGAGACTTGGATAACCAAGAGGTGAATTAAAATAGCAACTTTTATATGAAAACAACATCTTTTAATTAAATTTACTTGTAGTTTTTTTATTATAACTCATCCTAAACAATTTGGCCACAGCGGTTATCTCATTGAAATAAATTGGCTTATTCTCTCAGGAGATATTATGCGCAAACACAAATGATATTTGTAATCCTCTAGTTTTAGTATTTTAATGAAATATTAAATCAAAAAATGCTTTCGTATTTTAATTTCATAAAATATCAAAATGGCTTCAAATAACATGTTGGTGTTACCTTCATGTTACACTCATTTTACACTTGTTAAGTAGGTTTTCTGTCCTCGTTCTCCATTTATTTTAGAGAACTCTTCCTAATTGCTCTCTTTATCTTAATCTTCCAATCGGTCCTGGGTTCGAGTCCCGGGTCGGGCCAAGTTTAGTTATTGAGTCTTCCTGTATAGTAAGTCTCAGTAACAAGCCCGGAGTTGGGAAGTTGGCGGTGTTTCACCCCCGTGCCCCGGAGAGCACGTAAAGCTGTCGGTCCTGCGCCTTAACTCTCACTGGTCGTGTCGAGCAGTCGTCCCACCGGAGTATGAGAGTGAAGAGAATAGAGAGTGCACTTGTGTCTGCGCATACATTTGTGCACTTAATTGTCTCAATGAGATTGGCCGCCGTGGCCGGAATCGGCCAGGAGAACATCATCATCATCACACGGCATTCCTGTCATAAATATTTATAAAAAAATATTAATATACCTAGTAAAACTGTCTTACGAAGTCCTATGCATTAGTTATTACGTTTTACTTTTAAAACTTATAAATTGTTTATGGGTCACACAACATTCAGTAAAATATTCATATCATAGACAATTCCCAGATAAATAGAATTTACATAGTATTAATATATTCAAAATATACACCATGTTATTTTTAATAATTGTAATCATAAATAGATTATACTTTTATTATTTATTAGCGAGTTCATAAGTACGTTTTAAATATGCTATATCGGACTTTTCTGTAGGCCTTTTTGAGACCTAAAAATGTCTAGTACCTACATTGTTTCGATGTATCCATTGCTTGGTTTAGTCAGCGCGCCTTAGCCATGTTAATTTTTAGGGATGACACCACAGAACCAGTTATTGTGTATTCCCGAGGGAATGAAAGATTTCCTGTAGTAATAGGTATCCTAAATGTTGAAACTAGTAATAAGTTATCACTACACAAAATGTAGTTAAAATCAATTCAGTAGGTACTTTTTGCGTGAAATGCATACATATAAACAGACAAAAAAAAACAATATTGTTTTGGAGTCTATCTATATTCTGTAAACAATACGTAAAAGTCATTATTTTAAGAAATTATGGTATAAGTACAGATTTCACTTTTTTACTATTTTATTATATGTACCTATTGATTATTAACTAAGTATATGTAGGTACATATAGATAATATAATTAGTCTCAACATTGCGCAAGCTGCTTTTCATTAGGATGAATGGCAGCACATTTAGGAACTTTACTATATTTTTATCAACATACCCACTTAAAAGGAAGTATTATTATTACGTATATTAGTATATTTCTTTATTTGTACCTATTAGTTGTTAATTATTAGTTGTACTAATATTACAAACAGGTGAAGTTTATAAGTTTGTAAGTTTAAATGTAGGAGGTACCTAATCTTCTAAAGACTAAACTACTCATCCGATTTAAAAAAAACTTCCATCGATATTTAGAAAGGAATTTCAGGATGGACATAAGCTATATATTATATCTACCTTAAAAAAAGCTTTTTCGTCGTAATCGAATTTGCACAGTAAGTCGACGAAAAAACGGCCGAATGAAAGCGCTTCTTACGAACGCTGCTTTATATTATATATTTAACGCTAATAGAGATATACGAGTGATTTCTATAGAAAAATTGTAGAGCTTAAAAATGCATCCAAAAAGGTCTGCTACAGTGTATCTAAGTTTTATATTTAAGCCACAAAAACTTTACATAATATGCATTAAAAAAACAATTAAAATCTTTGTATCGTTGTTTAACTTATCATATTATAAACAAATTTTAATCCTTATCAAAATAACTGAGTACATCGCCACAAGTGTGCAATGGTCATGATTTTTGTTCCTTACTGTATGTTATTTGGAGTGTAGTTTAAGAGATATCATGATATATGTACATAAGTAATGACGGCCACGAAGCCGAGAGTCGTTAGGTGGCGGCGCTGATGTTGAACTGGGTACTATTATTCTTAAATATAGAGAATCTCCCGCCAAGCTTTGTTCCTTCTACTAGAAAACTATGGTCTTAAATAGAAAAGACCTACAGAAAAGGCTCACACTGCAATAGCATAAACATATCTCCCGAGTTACACTCGCAATAACTATTTATATCTATTTAAAACGTACATACCTAGGGATGTAATCGAGTGAAGTGAGGGTAACTAGTTATCAAGATTTTCGTTCTCTGATGAATTTAAAGGATTTTGAAGTTGACGCCGCTATTTCCACTTAATTTCTTGATAAAATTCTCTTCACAAACTTCTTTATTTTATATTTGTATTAATATTTATTATAACTTTACGTAAACTGCGATGAGATTCTTAAGTGTGTGCGCTCGTTGGACAAAAAAAAGTAATGAATATGTTGATAAGCACGCATGAGAGTTGGCGGTAGGCGGAAATAAAATTAAACTTCTCTAAAGAAAGTACAGTGTTACCAGTAGGATAAAGGGACTACCTTCTTAATAATGATTTCAAAGAATGAAGCGACGAAATATAATAATCTATAACATTCTATTGATATTCTCCAATCAATAATGATACTTAATAAAAAAAAATAACTCATACAACAGACAAAGTGCCAGTGAAGTTGTTATATTACATTGATGATGATTATTCGTTATTTAAAATATTTTAACTGCTCGTTGCGTGGATCAGATATACATTTTATTTACCGTTTCTGCTTTGAAATAGTTTTGATTACTAAGATTCTATGGTTGAAGACACAAAATTTTACAAATCGATTCGATTCTATATTTCAAGTGTCATTTTTTCAATAGTAAGCCTAAAAACTACTTAATGAATAACTATATATTTTCCTTAATTTATACATATTTAGTTTTACTAATAAAAAATTAGACCCGGCACAGCTGCTGATTTACCGGGACAATATAAATATCTTTTTCTTACTCTCTCATATAAAGAGTAAGAGAGACAGAACCTACCTCGTTGCTTTTATTACTAGTGATGGCCCGATCGCTAGATCGGGTGAAGCCGTAATACTTCGGTTTTCATCCAATACGCCCGTTACGTTGTCAGTATTGAGCCTGACATCGAATGGAACGGACGGCAAAATGACTTTTGAGAAAAAATCATTAATTAATTTACTAATATTGTATAAAAATTCACCATGCTTGTGGGATAAGACTCATGAATTTTATTCTATGAAAGCTAAAAGACAACAAGCTTACAAGAATCTACTCGACAGCTATAATAAAAAGTACCGTGCTAACTTGTCAATGGACCTTTTGAAAAAAAAAATACAAAACATGACATTTATTTACAAACGCGAAAAAAATAAGGCATGTATCTTATTTGGATAAATTATTGTTATTATGACCAATTTTTTTTTTATTTATACAGTAAAACTGCATAAACGCCGTTATATTTATACTTTCTTTACAGTATCTAAGTGCAAGAGCCAAAGGAGAAGAATATAGCACACCTATATGGTATTATGATCTTATATCCTTCATAGATAGCGCTGATAATAAAGATTCCACTGATTTAACTACGAGTAGAAAAAACGAAGATCAAGTAAGTAACTATAAAAATACATATAAATACATACATTCATATTATTTGTGATCCGTTACGTAACGTGTTTTACTCATTTTGTTAATATATTTCACCTGTCATATTTTTTCATTTCTTTTTTTTAAATTAGGAAAGCTCTGTCTGTAACGACGAATACGTTGAATTTGAAGACGAAGATCGCATAACTAGTAAGCCAGAATCGGAGGTTGTATATTTATTAAATCACAACGACAACAAGGTTACATCAAACCAAACTTCCCGTGAGAATATTGAAAGTGAAGCGATATCCTTTGGCCGAACCATAGGCCTACAGTTACAGGAACTAAATACATCCCAAAGAATTATAGCGGAAAAATTAATCTCCGATACAATATTTAATGCAAGATTGCATAAATTGACAACAAATTCATGTATAAAATTGGAATAACTTTGTACTTTAAACGTCTTGAATAAAACATGTCATTAGTAATTTCGTTTTTTATTATATTCTTTTACTAGCATTGCCCGCGTTCAGATGACCAAAAACCAAATTCTTAGGTTTTACATATTAGTATACTTTTATAATGCAGTTTTTGTATTTATTCTCAGAAATGAGATATTTTCCCGCGGTAAAAAGTATCCTATATGTTGACCCGGATATCCAGCTATCACCATACCAAATTTCATCAAAATCTGTCCATAGGTTTTCTCGTGATGCGGTAACAGACAGACAGACAAAAATTCTAAAAACTATAGATTCGGCCTCTGTATCGATAATAATGTCTATTTCAATTAGATTTTCCAAAAAATATTTAATGTACAGATTCGACTTAGTTACAATTTTATTATATGTATAGATATGCCTTACTAAAAGGCTGCGTAACCACCGCTACCTCCTTCATTGCCACGTGTGCTGCTCTCAGCTTCTTGTTAAATATGCAATATCTTCGAGATTAAAAGTACATAATATTATGCAAGCATATAAAATAAAAAAAAACAAGCATTATTTAATTGCCAATGGATGACATATTTTTATTAAAATAAATTGCCTAAATTGGAATTAGACTTATAATATTAAATGTACAGATTTGTATCTTAGAATAAAATATTTTTTATATATCAATGCATACTGAGCTCTAAAGTAATAAAAACCATATTATTTTTATAATAGAAAAAACAGTCATGAGGAGTGCCGACAGAAGTGAATACTTAAAAGTATAAACAGTTGTCATTTTTGGATATTCAAATTAATTGTTTGATCTTAATTTAAAATTTGTAAATTAAAACTGTTTAATTTATCTGGTTTTGATATCAATAGGCATTCTGAGTGTTAGCGTCACGTGACCATGACGATGACGACTTACATGAATTTACTCCCCATACAAATCTGCCTATAGCAGTTTTCACTTCAAAAATAAAATTTGTGAGAGATCATATTGAACAAACAGATTTTAGAAATAAGACGTAAGATTAAGGTAGATAAAAACTATAATATTTATAATTAAGGAAACTGAAAAAAAAGTTTTTAATCAACACTTAAAATAAAAAACCTTGAACACTTAAAATAAAAAAAATAAATATTTATATGCCTATCCATATTCCAGTCGACGGCACGCCACCGTGAACTGCGGATCGCAACCTGTCGCGTCATACGCAACATACCAGGAGTCCATACCAGAGAAGGAGGACTTCTCTCAACAATACTATGCATTTTATGCAATTTAAAATTGGTTCGTATTCTACTAGTTACGAGAGTTTATTCTAGCTTGCTATTGAATAAATTACGCATACAATGGCTTTCTGTTATTGGAGTCTGCTTGAATTAAATATTAAATAGCTCTTAAATTTTATTTTAATAGGTAATTGTTATATATATTATTTCTATACATTTATTATAACAGCATTCCAAATGCCTGAACAGCAATAAATGATAATTGTAAACGAAAAATTTCAATTGTTTCCATTTATGTTTAATATTATTATTTTTTATATACACTAAGTATTTTTATAGTGGCATAGTTAATTTATATATACATGGATCCCCTAAAGTATTAATACTACTATTAAGTACCTATTATAAACACAAAAGTATGTATGGGTGTTTGTTACTTTTTCACACAAAAACTACTTTACGGATTTTGATAAAACTGTTACAGTAAAATAGTCGATTCATCAGAGTAACATATAGGCTATAATTTATAAACTAAGCTATACATATAATAAAATTGTAACTAAGCCGAATCTGGGCATAAAATATTTTTTGGAAAATCTTATTGAAATAAACATTATTATCGATACAGAGGCCAAATCTATAGTTTTTAGAATTTTTGTCTAGCTGTCTGTCGTCGCCGCATCACAATAAAACCACTGGAGGGATTTTGATGAAATTCGGTATGGTGATAGCTGGTTATCCGGGTGAACATATATGATACTTTTTACCGCGGCAAATGTCTCATTTCTGAGAAAAAATACAAAAACTGCAATGTAAGAGTATACTAAATGTATGTAAAACCTAACAATTTGGTTTTTGGTCATCTGAACGCGGGCGGAGCCGTAAAGCCAATGCTAGTAGTAAATAAAGCAAATACAAATGATTAATGAACTATGCAAGCGCAAACGCTAGTGTTATTCTTAATACTGCTACCAAAGTCGCATAGCACTTTGACGTTTTTACTTTTTTCAATAGAATAAAACAACCATAATAAATACATCATTTTTACTTGTCGCGTTTATAAATTCTATTTAATTTGCAATAATGTTCAAAAATTACAACTATACGTAGCTAATACTTAAAAGGTCGAATAGTAAGGCTCCACTTTTAAAATGCTGTCTGTATCTTTCGATGGACATTTTTGTCAATAACTTAATTATTATCCATATCTACAGTAACATTTAATCCAAATCATCCCACTGCTGGGCAAAGTCTGGCTAGGCCAATTAAGATGGAATTCTAATTCCCGTCACTTAGTCGTGGTCTGCTGCGTCTCAGGGATCCACTTTGTAGTAAGTTTGGCCCACAATCCTGTAGGCGTCCGGCAGCATGGCCAGCCCAATCCAATTTACGAGTAAGATAAGTGGTTTCTTGAGCAACGCCAGTGATTTGTGTTTTGGGAACGTAGTACGTTTCGAACTCTATCTATACCTTAATGAATTATTATACAAAATTAATTATTATATTATTAATTATTATACAGTATGCCTATTTAATTAAGTAAAATACGGCGTAAATACGAAAGAAGCCATAGAACCACCAAAGTCGTCAAAATTTCAACGGAAGAAAGTCGATAGGACTTCCATGGCATGTTATGTCCTACTCTACTGGTATTAGTTGTTACAAACGTACATCAATAGATAGATATATTGTTTTTCAAAGTCTTGATATACCTACTTGTGCTCTTTATAGTGCTCAGTACTTATTAATTATTTATCCATTATTGACGTTTCTACGCCAAATAAAGTTAATCTCGTTAAGGCAGAAGACAATAAGTCAGAATATTTTAGACCTATCCCAAGATTTAATGGCAATAAAAATTTCAATATAACTGTACTAAAATACGTATTAATTATTAATAGTAAAAAGCCTCAATACACACCTGAAGTATCTCGCTTTACCATAGCATTAAGCACCGAATACAGAAATATTGCTTGGAGAAATATTTATTTATCGTTACATAAGTATTTTTAAAAATATTCATTGATATAAATAAAACATTTCAAATATTTAATTTAAATTAATATAAAATATTAGAACAGAAGGTAACAAAAAGAGTAATACTACCTACTCGTAGGTTGGTCGTTAAAGTTTTAAAACACAGGAGACTTGGCTACTGTTGCGGAGTTTTCAATTATTTTTCTTTAGAACCAATTTAAAAAAGTTGCCGAGCAGGAATAGCGAGGCAATAGCGAAAAAGAAATTAATATTTTTGATTAGTGAAGTATAAGGTACCTCTATAGTTTTTTTTCTGACTACCTACGACTACCTACTAGTTCGGAAGTTATTATATGTAATTATATATGTATACGTGTATATAGTATTAATTGTTTATTATTACATTTCAACGGTCGAATTAAATAATAAAAATTTAAAATACCATATAGAGTTAAAGAAGGAAGGAACAAGTGTTACTTTTACCCGTCTACTTTTGAAGTTTTTTTTTAATTAAAGAAAAATAAATAACCCGGGTGTAATCTTTAATTAGGTACACTAATTAAAAAATAATTTGGGAGAAGAAATTGTGAGGAGGTTATTCAGTCTAGAGGGAGCTCAGAGATTAAAGAAAATATATTTAAAAATACTTAAAATTCACCATTTATATTATATTAATAATTGTTACAAATTAAAGAACTTAAAAAATGAATATTGCAGCACTGCTATTGAAATATAATTCCTTAGATAGCATTTACGATGTTACATTTCGTTAAATTAACAAAAAACTTAAAAATATAGCGCTATTTACGTATGAATTCCGCGTAACGTTTGACTTTTGGTCAGAGTCAGCCGTTTGTTTGCATAAATAACCTCGCCCGGACAGGATTGCCTTGTGTTGGTTGTTATCATCACACACTGTGACGTAGCGTAGTCGGGAGTTGCGCAGTGCGCGCTGCCCACCCGGATAGCATACCCTCGTGGATATATCTCATACATTCCTATCGACCAAAGAATACATTTGAATACTAATATCAACTCTATGTTATAGGCTACAAGGCTTATAATTAAGTTAACGAAAATTGACGCTTATGATCTTTTCAGTTTTGGATAAACACATGCGCGAATATACTGAAATGAGAACAACGTACTTGCACGATGTTTTGAGTGACACTATCTAGCGTCTGTGCGCTCCTAGTAACAATGCCCGCTATACCGTGGCACACGATACTTCTTGTGCGTTTGTTTTTTTTTTTAATATATAAATGGGGGAACTGACTTTTGTTTCCACAGTCCACATGTATTTAAAAGATTACTTTATTTACCCAATAAATAATTAACCTGCCTTGGCTTCGATGCCTTTGCCTTTTTTTTACTTTTAAAAGATTTTTCTTTTATTTTACATATTTTGATTTTTCTGTCCGTTGTTTTTTTTATCAGATTAACTCGAGAAACGATTTTTTTGTGTTTTTCTTTTTATACTATTTTATCAATTAAAATATATTATTATTATTAAATATTGCAAGAAAGTCTAGTTTTACTTAGTTTTTTTATAGTACATAAATCCAAATTTATATTTTTTTTTATCCTACTGATTATTTCTATTTAGTACTCACTTATTTAAATAAAATACAAAAACTAATAAAAATAAATATAAAAAGTGATGCCGGCGTTTATTTGAAAAAAGGTTACAGGAATATTTTGTCATTTTTATAGCTTGATCAAGAAAAACTATGTAATAATAGATATTAATTAAAATTACAAATTTTCTTACCTGTATCATAAAAATATTTAATTAA